TCCTATATAAGAGTTTATTTGACCTTTTTGGTTAGTAGGTGTGCTTATTTGTCCTTTTTCCCTCTTTATTTAACGGTGAACCTAGTTAAAGATAAAGATTTGACAACCGTTTGTTGCTCCTTTGAAAGGTCAATGAAGTAGTAGTATATTTTACATTTATTTATTAAACTAGTTTTGTAAATTAGATGGAATATAAAATTTTAAATAAAACAATTAGAAATACAAGTAAACCATAAAAAGCGGCATAGTGATTAAATAACGATTATACATATAAGTATTTCATTTATCCTGCTAAGATTGTCTCATCTTTCCTTTTCCATCCGTCTCATTAAGATTGTCTCATTCCAAATTTGGTACTGTTCGTTGTTCTAAAAATCGTTATATGCGCCCGACTAGTCCCCGCCTAGGCGCTAGGCGGTGGCCGGGCGCCCCGATTTTAGTCTAGGCGCTCTGACTAATTGATTTGACGCCTAGATAAATTAGCCGGCCGCGTAGGGCGCCTATTTGCCTGCCCAGATCGATTTATCGGCTACCTAGGTGTCTAGATTCATCGAACATTTTTTAGCTTTTCTTATTTTAGTATCTAAGGAGATATACACGTTTTAACTTTAATAAAACATATTAAGAAAGCTACAAGTGAGTAAGTGAGTTGGTATGATATATTATTAAATGTGACAACTCTATGCTTCATGCATGTTAATGTGTATATTGATGGAGTACATGGCCCGGGAACCCCCGGCCCACAGACTCCTACTACTCCAGTGAAGGCCCAACAGGCCCAGAAGGCCCAACAGGCCCAAATCACGGTGCCCAGAGTACCAAGCAGCCCACAATGCGCGCCAGGGGTGCCTTCGGCCCCCTGGCCGAAGGCTCTAACTCTCACAGGAGGGCCAGGACAGCAAAACGAAGTTACTGGGAAAAACGGCAGAAATCAGTAGCCCTCGGCACCAAAGGGGTCCCCAGTACTCGGAGCCCTCGGCTAGTCCTCTACAGCCGAGGGCACCCTGCCCGACATGATATCCGCGCCACATGCGTACAGATCGTCGTGCCCTGTACAACGTCCCATCCAACAGCCGCATTAAATGCGGCCACATGCGGTTGCCAGCGCCAACCAGATGAGGTGACCTCTCGGCCAATGGACGCTTGACACGTGTCCCTGTCCGGCATTTATTGCTACTATAAATAGCACCACATTTCCCCGTTTGTAACCAAGTCACAAGTCATAAACGCTGCATACTTTCTGAATACACTTTCTCTCTCTATACTTACTTGCTCTGACTTCTCTCTTGTTATTCCCCGCAATAACCCCCCGGATAAGCTACCCCCCGGGTACACTGTCCATCATATATATTTGCTATACACACACAAACGCATCATTACTAATCATATTCATGCAAAAATATTGATAAAACTACAATTTCTATGTCTCCGACTAGTCCCCGTCTAGGCACCCGCCTAGCCGCCTAGGCGCTAGGCGCGGGGTTGGCGCCCGACTAGCGCCTAGCTCCTTTTAGAACATTGGTACTGTTTGTGTAGTTCTAAATCATTCTTCCTTTATTCTTACTTTATCAATTCAATACCAATCACATAAAATCACTTTTCTTAATAACCGTGTCACTTCTTCATGTTATAATGTTAGTGGGACGGGGTACTATTAGCAATTAGAAAAGAATTACTCTTCACTATGCCTAGCTAGACCCCTTTGATAACATTGAAATTGACTTAATCGGTTGAATATACTAAATTGATGAAATTTTGACTGAAACAACTCAATTAATTGAATCTATTGAGCTATAAAGAAATGATATTTAGAATATATTTTTATTAATATCCCTTTTGTCCCATTCACCATTTTCCGTCTGTTGCATTAACTTTGTCTCATACCATATTGGTAATATTTAGACAATTACAATCCATTCTTAATTTACTTACACTTTATCAATTTAATGCAAATAACACAATCTAACTATCCATAATAACCGCACTATTCCCTCTCATCTCATGTAGCAGTATAAAGAAAAAGTTAGATAAAAAGGTTAAAATAATTGGCTTTAAAAAAATTGAGCCAATTTTACTAGCTTCACACTCACTTATTTTGATTGTACACTACCTATATATGTAATGATTTCATTTTTATTTTATATATTTGGACTCATATACTAAATTAGTTAATAACCAAAATTAAAATACATTCCTTTGAAAAGTCAAAGGAGCCAAGTTAAGACTTGCTAAAACTATTGTGCAGATTGTTTGTGTGCAGAGTATTTTTTATTGGAAAATGCTAATTAGTTGGTGTTACTTCCATAACACATATACTTTGTTTAGCCGGGGCTCAACAAATCCATATGTAAGATGATTATCCAGCTCAGGTCTCACACATTTAAATCCACAAAGGATGAAATAATACCACTATAGTCACAAGGGGAGGAGTGGGCAACAGCCAGCGAAGCTTTCCGGCCAAATCCACCTATTTTTGGCCAACCCAGTCAAGGTGCGAAAATGGGGAAGAAGAGGGTTTCAGCCAACTGGTTCAAAGGGGAAATAGATTGTTGCGCGTCATGCGAATCCGTAGAAGAGAAAGGGAATAAATAGGCCAAGGATTTGCATATAGTATCAATGGGCCGGGTAGAAGGCTAAAGTAAATGGGCTTAAGGAGAGTTGGGCCAATACCAACACCATACATGACCTATATTTTCACTTGATACATTGAGATATAAGCTTAACATTAATGTGTATTTGAAATCCTAAACTCTCTGTGTAATTGACTCATCTATCTTTACCTCCTTTAAATTCCAGGTATGCCAATGAAAATTGTAGGTATTGCAGGTAATAGATGAGAACCAATGAAAATAGCAGGTATTTACTACACTCCTCCTATTTATTCGCAATTACGTGTTTTTACTGATATATTGAGCATATTTTAATCTTCATTTAGTAACAAATTAAATTTTCAATATTCATTATCAAGCATAAAATGTGGTCAGATCTAATGGCTTTAGATATTTGACATTGATTCACGAGTCCACATAAACCTGCTCTACATTTGTATATTTTAATATCGTGCTACTAAAAGAAAGGTCTTCAACTAGATCATGAACATAGTGAAAATTGAAGAAAACATATTTCTGCTTGCATAATATAACTTAACAAGAATAAAAGTTTAAGCATTTTGTAATTCTCCCTTTGGTAGACCATTTCTTCTGTACATGTTCACTTTAATATGTGGACTATTAAACTCTAGTTTTTTATGTGCAAGTCAGGGGAACAAGAATTAGAGTTAAGGAGATGAATGCAACGTTCTTGATCTTTTGGTCTTTTTGTCTGCCTTGTAGTATTTGTGTATTAGCACTTTCTTTTAATTATTTAGGCCATCGTTTGACTTCTCCTTTTACTTCTTTAGTTTTAGGGTATACCATTTGAAATTATGTACATTTACAATTGTAAGGAATGATGATTTAAAAAGAGGATAAAATAAAATGAAAATTGACAGGACTAAACCTTACCCAATTAAAAGTATATGTGAAGAAAAAAATAGATGCATTAAAAACCCAGTTAGGAAACTCTAAAGTGTGAAAATCCATTCTTATCTAACTGAATAAGTCCGCGAATCCGATTAGGCAACTCCCAAGATTGATAGAAGACCGATGTTCTTCCGGTGTTCAGCTGGGCAAGCTGATGCGCCACTTCGTTGGCTTGCCTGAAGCAATGATGAAACGAAATCGAGTTACGAATGGCCAATTGAGAGAGTGGTCGGGTAAGATGAACATAACTCGCCCCATCTGGATATCTGCGAAGAAGGGAAATAGCAGTCTGGGAATCCGATTCAACCTCCACAGAAGTGTAACCGGCTTCAACAATCCAATGCACAGCAACAAAAATGGCCATGAGCTCAGCTTCCAAGATAGTACGAGCGTTAAGGAGAAAACAACTTACTAAGACGAAGGCACGAGATCCATCTCGCAGAATTGCACCTCCAGCAGCTCTGGTTGGATTAAAAGCCGCATCAATGTTCAGCTTCAAGGTAAGATTTGGCCTCTTCCAATTAACTTTAATAATTCTAGGCCTTCTTTGTTTATTAATTGGAACCAACCCATCCTCAAAAAGGAATTCTGGGATAGTCTGATTTTTAGGAAAATCAACTCCAGCAGTCCATTGATAGATATAGGTCTTAACAGACCGTTGTAGAGACTCCAAATTTAAATCCATGGCATTATGATTCCAAATTCTAGAGGCATAATTTTTCCAGATATGCCACGTGATTATCCCTAGTGTACAATGCTTAAGAACATCAAGAGCAGTTTTATTACCAGCTTCAAGCCACCATGAAAAGCAAATCTGCCTATGAGTGACCTCCCAATTTGGAATTGGAATACCGAAAGTCCCCATGAAGTTGACCATATAGGTCAGATTTGAGGGCAATTATAAAAAATATGAGAAGCAGTGATGGACTCTTGTTTACAAAAAGGACACTGAGATGGGAAAATGCAAACATTAAACCTTTGCAGATTCTCAGGAATGGGCAACACATTATGAAAAGGCTTCCACATAAAAAGCTTAACCGCGTAGAACTGTTTAAGATGCCAAATATGAGAATTAGAGAAAGTTACTGATCTTGTTTCTCTTACTTCTTGATATGGAGAAGAGAGAGAGAAATTTCCATCATGGGATGGAGTCCAAATTGCAAGCCCATTCTGGTGATCAACAAGAGACATTCCTCTAGCATGGATATGACATATCCTTTTCCAAATTGCAGAATCAGGTAACTTAGGAGTCATGTTATCATCTCTAGGGTATCTAGCATGCATGAAATTTGCCCACAGAGTAGAATTGTTAAACCAGGTCCACCAAATTTTGAGAGAGAAGGCAGTTTGAATGTCATTTAAGGATCTCACTCCCAAACCCCCTTCCTCAAATGGAAAACAAACATTCTTCCAGCTCTTCCAATGCAACCTTTTAGAATTAGCAGAGTAATCCCAGAAAAAAGATGACAACTTAGCTTCCACAATTCTAATCACTGAATTAGGTAGTTTGGAAACAGCAAGAATATGAATAGGAATTGATGTCAACACATGTTTTATAAGAATCAGCCTGCCACTTTGAGATAAAAGCTTTTTCCTCCAGGGGCTAAATTTCTGATCAATAGCTGAGAGTAAATCTTTACAATATCTGAGCCTATTTATACCTTGGTGAAGATAAACTCCTATATACTTGATTGGAAGCTTGGAGCATTTCATGTTTAGAAGTTCTTCCAGATGCTCTATTCTATTTTCAGGAAATTTCTTCCCAATTATAATTTGGCTTTTATTGTAGTTTACTGCCTGACCTGAAGCTTGTTGATATGATGCCAGGAAATTAGAGAAATTCAGCAAAGATCTAGCATCGCCATTCATGAATAACAGTAAATCATCAGCATATCCAAGGTGAGAAACAACAGGAGCTCCTCTGCTAACCAAGTATGGTGAAATTATTCTGTCTTTAACTAACTAGTTTAAACCCCTAGAGAAGGCCTCTAAGGTCAAGATAAAAAGATAAGGGGATAAAGGATCACCCTGCTTAACTCCCCTAGATGGCTTGAAAAAACCATGAGAAAAACCATTCACCATGACTGACATACTTGTAGCCTGTAAGTTGTTCATAATTATGTTGATAAAATGATTTGAAAACCCAAATCTGGAAAGTGTTTTTCAAAAATGATCAGGATACTCTATCAAAAGCTTTTGCCATATCTAATTTAATGGCAATGTTCCCTCCCCTTACGTTTTTATCCAAAGAATGCATCAGTTCCCGGGCAAGAAGAATATGACCACTAATCTCTCTATTTTGAAGGAAACCTGCCTGCTCAATAGATATGATTTTAGGTAGCACTAAGCTTAACCTTGAAGTTAGAACTCTAGTGCAAACCTTGCTGATGAAATTAGACAGACAAATAGGCCTAAATTCAGTGAAATTTTTAGGCCTATCATTCTGAAGAATTAGGACAATGGATGTACTGCCCATAGCTTGGGGGATGGGATTGCATAAGAAAAAATTTTGAACTGTTGAAACAACGTCATCTTTAACAATCTCCCAACAAGATCTAAAGAATTTTTCATTAAATCCATCTGGACCTGCTGCACTGTTTTTATTAAGGGCCCAGACAGCCTCCTTCTTTTGGAATTTGGGTTAACATGTTGTCATCTTCTAGAGTGATTGATGAAACGGTTAGCAACACAAGAGGGGGGGGGGGTGAATTGTGTGTGAGTGGAACCGTGGCAGTTTCTCGCACAGTTCTAGTGTGGGGTCCAGGGAATTACGAAATAGTAAAGTGCACAAGGATTTAACGAGGAGAAATCCCTTGGCTCAAAGGGATTAAAAAACCTCGACCTCCCTCGGAGGAATTTGAACAACTTCACTAAAAAGCCTTTGAATGATTACAAGGGAAACTCTCCTAGTCTACCCTTGAGCCACCCCAACTCTATCCTCTCTAGGAAGAGTTATGCATCTCTACCTTGCGGGTAGAGAGCCTCTCAACTTTACAACAAAGTTCTCACAACACACTAACCAACCCGAGGATGCTACACTTAGCCAATCCTCAATACCCCAATTACAATATGAAGAGAGGAAAAAGAAACTTTGTCTGGAACTCCGTGAGCAGGTTCAGGTGCCTTGGACTTGGTAAATATTCTCGTGTATATTTCTCAATAGAAGCTCGGTTAAGCACCCCACTTTAGTCTGGTCTTCAGTCCAATATATATAGCATCCGTAGCCTCTCCTTCCCTTGGTTGAATATTTGGACTTTCCTTGATATTTTGAATTACCTTCCTTGAATAATATGTCTCATACTTTGAGCTAACGGCATATGTCAATTATATTGATAGACACAAGATATTGTAGAATATGTCAATTGAGAAAATATCTAATGCATGCAACGGTCTCAAGGTAATATAGCAAGGAAAGAATATATCTACCTATTATAGCAAGAAGCAACGGTTCACAATAGGTAAGCAATATTCTATTCAAAAGTATTTAAAATATTCAATCATGGATGTAGATAAATTCGTATAGTAGGAGATGCAATCAAATCATATGCTACCAAAAATATTCCTTTTAATGTATTTTGAAAGAGGACCATCAATATAAAGATAACAAGATTACTTTCCATAGTAAGAGATACGTAACATGGCAGCAAATACTATTTAGCTTATTTGAATTTATTTGAATCATGTAAGGAAGCTTTCCATAGTACATTACTCAAATCATGCAACGACCTTAATTTAGCAAGCCACTATTACTTTCTATAATTAAGGTTAACTTACTTAAGTGGTGTCCAATCATTCATAAAAAGATATTTCAATTGTGCCCCTTTCATGATTACCTTTTATAAAGTATAAAGGCATAATCATTTATGTAAAGATATTTAAATTGTGCCACTTTCATGCATAACATATCTAGGTACGTAGATATGGCATTATCATGCACTAACATATGAATTCATTTATTTGTTATGTACGTCAATCATTCACACAAAACAGAACTAAGTATAGTTCTAATTTTCGTTCCTGATAGAACGGAGATAAGTTCTATCCGCTGGTCTACCTGCAGGGTTAGTTATCAATAGAACCAATGTGCACTTATATCATAGGATAGTTTCATCTTTCGTTCCTGTATGGTTAGTCATCAACAGTTCCTTCTTTCGTTCCTGCATGGTTAGTCATCAACAAAACTAAATATTCAACAGTGATCAACTGAGGGATGAGTCTAAGAATGTCATCAAGATGGTCTTCAGCTGAAGAAGTCTCATGTTCAGTAAAAAGATGCTGAAAGTATTGGGCAGTTTCCATACCTATTTAGTCAGTATCTGTGATCCAGGTACCATCATCCTTTTGAATGTTTGTTATATTTTGCCTCTTGTGTCTTCCCTTAACAAAACTATGAAAAGTTTTGGTATTGCTGTCTCCATCTTTAAGCCATTTAATTCTTGCTTTTTGCTTCCAAAATTGCTTTTCCTGTTTGTAAGCAAGAATCAATTCTGCTTATGCTTTGTGCCAATTAGCTCTACTAAGTTCATCAGCCTGTTCTTCAAAAACTTTCTCAGCTTCATCTGCCCTTAATTCACAGCCTTTAACATTTTCAAAGATGTTTCCAAAAACAATAGAGTTCCATTGTTTAAGATCTTTTTTCAAATATTTGAGCCTACTTTCTTATCTTTCGGCCTCTTTTGAAAGTTGGAACCTTTGGTGAATTTCCCGAGACGTTTTTTATTTTTCTTAGTCCCACTTGACTGTCCCTCCTCCATAACATTTATAGAGAAAATTGGAAGGTCGTTCTTTTTACCATTGTCACCTTCACGCAACTTAATGCCTTCTTCAATTTGAAGTCGGCGACCAAGTTGCTCTATTGACAAATCTTCCTTTTTGCGTTTGAGACCATTTTTCACTTCCTTCCATGAAGGTGGTAATTTGTCGATTATAGAACCGACCGCAAAGGTTTCATTAACATGCATGTTATGAATCAAAAGTTGATTATATAAACGTTGAATCTCATGAAATTGTTTCATGACCGGACGAGAATCCACCATTTTGTAACTATTAAAGTTACTAATGAGAAATTTCTTATTTGAAGCATCCTCAGTCATATATTTAGATTCTAGAGATTCCCACAACGTTTTAGCATACTCAACATTTTGATATACATCAAAAAGAGAATCGCACATACCGTTCAAAATGTGTCCACGGCATATATAATCATCATTGTCCCACTTTATGCGACGACGGCTTGTTTTCAAAGATTCATTTTCTTCTTCCTCTGGCAGCCTCGGAGTGCTTAACAAGTAGACCACTTTCAAAGTGGTGAGCAAAAAATGCATCTTTTTCTGCCACCTTCGAAACTCCACACCTTCAAACTTTTCCAATTTTTGAAAATTGGTGTTGATGATATCGCGTTGAGTAGCGGCCATATTTGCGGATTAGTAAACTTTTAGATTTGTTAGAACCGGAGGGTATAAATAATATTACGTATATTATAAGGGTGTGAAATATGGCAGGACCGGATATCATTTCTAGTGACGTAAAATATACGCTTTCCTAAAAGTTTATTATCTACCCTTATCACAGTAACTGGGTTACAAGATAGAACTTTTGGAATAAAAAGAAAGTGCACAATGCATTGTAGTTACTAACAAAATAACACTAAACAAGTGATATGTATATAAAGTAGTCTAAATATTGATCACTATTACCGCTGATAATAGGATAAATATAACAAGAGAAATTATTATGAAGTCTTTTTTGACTTCACAAGTTCAACGTGTATTTATAGACAACTATATACAAGTCTCATATCATCATTTTCATATGAAGCATTGCAATTTTTATGAAAAGTCATGATGGTTCTACAATTGGCGGCATTATCCTTCACCAATTTTGAAATCAAAATTAAATTTGATTATGAATTGACCATGCACGTAGCTACTCCAAAATGGCGTGTCTTTTGACAAAATGGAACATAAAATGAAACACGTACATGCATCACCATCAACTCACGATATAAAATTATTATTATTATTATTAAGACATCAATAATTACTTAGCCAACATAGTAAGTAATTTACATGTCTAATAATCTAATAATTATACTTCAATTCAGTATCCTTAGAATATTATTATAATTAAAACTCACAGTAACTAATTAAAATAATAGTATTAAGGATCATGTTGAACACTTGAGCCATATTTCTCAATAAATTCCAACACATTAGAGCACAAAATTGATTCAAATATGAAAAGAAAATATTAAAAGAAGAACATATAAAAATATGAATTTCGAATATGTATCACCTTTGTAACTATTTGCAAAATTAACTCTGTTGTGTATGATGAAGTATGATTCCCCTTTTAATGCGAAAAAACTTTTCTAACATGTTTCCAATTTTTGGAAAATGCGTTGACAATCTTTTACTCTCGTTCCGCTAGAAGGTTCTCGTGAACGGTTTACGATGTTTGATTGACGATAAAACAATTTAATCTCTGTTCACAATTTGATTATTTTTAGTAAATAAAATTAACATATTTAGAAACTACATCAAAACCGCTACAAAGCCTGATAAAAAATGTATAGTTGGTAAAAATTTGATTTATAAAGTACTACCTCCCTCCCTAAATGTTTGTCTTACATTCCCAAAATGGATATCCCAAAATGTTTGTCCTACTTTTTAACTTCCTTATTTCGTAAACAAAACTATATCAAACAGTGTCAAACAGTGCAAAATAATGTCAAATAATATCGCTACAGTGTCAAAACAATGTCGCTACAGTGTAAAGTCAAATTCATTTCCCAAAATGTTTGTCCTACTTTTTAACTTCCTTATTTCGTAAACAAAATTATATCAAACAGTGTCAAACAGTGCAAAATAATGTCAAACAATATCGCTACAGTATCAAAACAATGTTGCTACAGTGTAAAGTCAAATTCATTTCCTTAAAACTTGTGAAGTCAAACTAGGACAAACAATGATGAACGGAGGGAGCAAAAGATTAAAAATGATTTAAATTGACCATTAAAATAATGGACGGAACCTTCTAATGGGATGGATGGAGTATAATATTTTCTCGATGCGTTGAACCTTATTGGCACAAGAACTTGTTCCTTGTCCGTCGATGAGTCCTCTTGATTAGCTGTGACTTTGGAACTTGAGCAGAAAATTCAACGCTCAGTCGTGAAATTAGATAGTAGTGGCGAGGTGAATCATAGATAGTTCTAAAGATGTGAGGCCGGTTTCCTCACTTAAAATTGGTTAAATTAGCTAATTTCACTGATTTTTTTAAAATTATATTCAAATGTATTTCACTAATACAATGAAGAAAACAATATATGAAAAAATTAGCTAAAACTATCCTCCAGAACTTTAGTTAGTATTCAAAATGTAATTTACTAACAAAACATTATAAGGTTCACCAAACATTATATGCAACTTTAGCTAATCTAGTTGGAAGAATAAATATAATCTTACTTAATTCAATGCGCAAAATCAATGCACAAAATAAAAAATTTTGTGTTTAGTGAAAAATTAGTTGATAAGGCTGATACATCAAAAAACTGAGTGACCAAGAGGATTCTTAGTTTACTTTTCACCAAATATGTAACTTTTTATTTTTCGCGTTGGATCATATAATAATCAAAATAAGTAAAGTTGAGATTACTTTTGAAATTGAATAAAATTGTACTTATTTTAATTATAACACAATTTAGGTCTTTATTATTATAGTGAGGTGGCACATTATAAAGATAGAAATAGAATGCATATTTGAATTAATACGAGTATCGATCAAGTGGTGTGTGTAAGGAAAAATGAACAAGAACAAAGAGATAGGGGTGCTTGATCTGCATGTTAGAACTCCTTCCACGGAGTATTTTTTAAAAAGGGATAACCCCCGTCTCAGAATTAACTTCTACGTAGTTTTTTTGAATGACTTTATAGTTCACATAATTTCTTACACATTTCTTTCTTACATACGAGTGTTAACTCTTTATCATAGAAGCCAAATTGGAAGATTATATTCGAACAGGGGATATAAAAATGAAAATCTACGTGAAAACCAAACTACTCTATATTTTACACCTTGTGTTCTACCGGCTACCTTCTATTAAACTTTGTCGATTTCATCTTTCATCCATCAAAAAAAATTGAAGATTTACTTTTTGTGTTGTTTTTTGTGTAAACAAAGTGCAAAAATCAACATATAATTGTAGATTTTTATACACATAGAATCACATGCAGTTTTTATATAGCTCTAGTTTTTCTTACTTTTTCTTCTCTTCCACTGAAAAATGCTGTAAAAGGAGAGCAGTGTCGGCGTGGTATAGCGATCATAGAAAACCTGGCGGTGGGGTGTTTGATGGGATGAATTTGATTTGGTTTATTATATTGATTGCTCCGATCCTCAAAAGGCTGAACAAAAAAAAACGAAGGAACGAAACTGGATAGTCATCATCGTCTCAGGAAAAAAGTTACCCGCTTTGACTGACGACCTTACTGCAGCCTACGCCTTACTTCACTGAAGCTGCAACAGAAAGACGTGACCGATAAGGAAAACTCAATTTCATTGCTATACCATCCCATTTCTAGTTTAAAATGGTTCAAACACTACTGCGGAGTAATAAAGTCACTTCTTTCCTCATACGGCGTGTCCCCAAATAATTTGACCCCGTTCATGAAATTTGAAGTGATTTTTTTTGGTTTTGGTCTTGAATCTGAGCTGGTCTGGATTGATCCGGATTTTTTTTGATTATATGTATTTATAATTATTCTAGTCTGCTTTAATCTGGTTTGATTTGATTCTAAAAACAATTTAGGAACAATCATCCCAAATCAATATTATGTCGGTGAAATTGTTATTGAAATGCTTGAATGTTGAAATGTTACTACATTATGAAAATATCATGAGCATTTTGATAGTAGTGCAATCTAAATAATCCGATGAAATGGACTAAAACATTACTCTAGTGCACCTCAACAAGATTTTGTTAGGGCATCTCCATCCATTGGATTATTTAAGGATTAAGTTGGTGATGTGACAGATTATTTTTGGGATCATGGTTGAGTAATGAAGATTATTTGGTGAGATTATTTGACAAAATAATCCTAGATTGAAATATGAATACAGATTATCTCAAGATTATTGTGCAGCTAGTATTAATTGGTGAATGTGGGGGCCACAAAAGATCTAATTATTTTGAGATGACGAATGATGTAATTTAGAAAGTGTTAGATTATTTTGGAAAAATGAACGTGTCAATCTACGTGTTATTAAAAATCCATTAATTTAAGCAGGGGCGGACCCACTCTAGGGCTAGGGGGTGCCCGTGCCCCTGCGGTGATTTTTATTTATATATATATATATATATATATATATATATATATTGGAAAATTCTCAGGTCCACCACCTCCCGGTCCGAACACCGTCCGAACACCGCCGTTTGGGACGGTTCCGGGTGGAATTGTTTGATGAAATTTTGTGAGCATGTTTCTCATCAAGTCTAATTTATCCATACCAAATTTCAGGTCAAAATTCGACCGGGAAGGCAGTCAAATAATTCGTTGAACTTAACTGCATTTTTCTATGTATAATTTGGCGCAGTTAACTTCAACGAATTATTTGACTGTCTTCCCGAGCGAATTTTGAGCTTACGTTTGGTATAGATAAACTAGACTTGATGAGGAACATGCTCAAAAATTTTCATCAAAATATTCCGCCGTGAACCGCCCCAAACACCGGTGTTCGGACGGTGTTCGGACAGAAAAGTGCTGGACAGAAAAGTTATGCCGATTGAGACTTATGATGTTAATATTAGAGATGAGTTGAGGAGACGTTATTTGAGAAAAGGTCCTTGCCAACCGCGTGACTTTAAATTTCCACAAAGTGATTTAATGGGTGCAACAGATCATTCCAAAAACAGTGGTTTTATTTAAATTTTATAGTTTTGTTTATTGCTATACTCGTGATGCATATGATTTTTTTCTAGACTAGTATATCATTTCTTTGTTATTGTGCCCCTGCGAGTCACGAGTCCTGGTTCCGCCACTGAATTTAAGTAGCATGAATGTTGATGCTCTTAAAAGGCGATCCTAAAAACTACGGAGTATATCCTAACAGCATCACATTTTTATTAGTATCTCTAGTTTAACAAAAAAAAAAATAGCATCATATTTTTTTTAGTATCTCTAGTTTAACATTTTGACCTTATGTACTCTATTGTGGTTATTCGTGTAATTTGAAATTGAAAATTATGTGGAACTTTGTTCATGACTAAACATAGATGTATTATCTATGGATATGAGTTCTGTAATTAGATTTATGCTTAACTTTATTTGACTATTTGTTATTGAACTATTAAAAGTGCAAATAAGCTCTTTTATAAGAGGCTCTGTCCGGTCGTTGCCATTCGGAGCGATTTCCGGTGGAATTTTTTGATGAAATTTTTTGAGCATCTTCTTCATTAAGTCTAGTTCACTCATACCAAATTTTAGATAAAACTTCAATCGGGAAGGCAGTCAAATGATTTTTTGAAAATAACTGCGCAGTTAGGCAGTGCAGTATATTTCAGAAAATCATTTAACTGCCTTCTCGATTGATTTTTAGCTGAAATTTGATATGAGTAAACTAGATTTAATGAAAAAGATGTTCAAAAAAACATTTCATCAAAATGGTGTAAACATCACATCAAACTAAAGATTTCGTAAAAATTCCAAGTTTTACGGGACGGAAGAACTATATTTGTACTCCCTCTGTCTTTTTAAGTTTTGTCATTTTTTCTTTCTTTGTTGTCCAACTAACTTTTCTATTTTCACTTTTATATAAATAATTTGCGGTTCCTGTTAATTTTTTCACCTCTGCACAAACTTCAACCACATACACAATTTTTACTTTATTAATCCTCGTGCATTTCAAACTTGACAAAGTTTTAGAGGCCATTTGGTAATACTGGTTTTCGGCTTACCAGTCTTATCAGCCAACTTTTTCATCTAACATGTAATTTTTGCTTTCGCGCGCTGAATTGTGTAATGATAAGAAAAAGTAAGCTTGTAGTTACTTTTATGATTGTGTTGGTTGAAGTTGTTGTAGATGACCATTTTAGCTATTTTACATATAATTTTTTCTTTATTTTATGAGATATTACCCAAAATAGAACTAAAACAGTTTGAAAATTACAAAATAGGACTACCATGTTTTTATTATCAAAATAGGACTAATTACTGTCATGTTTAGAAAATACTGTCATGTTTGAAACTTGAGTATAATTTTAAAACTGTATTAAAATAAAAACATGACAATATTTTCTAAACATGAGAGTAACTAGTCCTATTTTATATAAGAAAACATCATTGATCATAATTGATTATCATTGATCAAAAAAATCACTTTAAGAGTCCTTTTAAAAGGGAATATATAATAATTTCATTTAAAAGGGAAATACATTAATACTCAAGTTTTAAAGAAGGAAGGAGTAAATTTTATACTTTTTGAAAATATTTTAAATAAGAAAAATTTTGATATATTTCATTTAAAATAATTTCATATAAGAAAACATCATTGATCATAATTGATTATCATTGATCAAAAAAGTCAATTTAAGAGTCCTTTTAAAAGGGAATATATAACCATTTCAAACAATTACCCTATTCAATAGTTAAATGTTCAATAAAAAATTAGAGACTATAAGTTAAAAATATACTAAACAACTACCCTAAAGAGAAACAATACCTTATTACCAAGGATAATTGTTCAATAAACAATTACCCTGTTATCAAACTCTTAACTCTTGAGTCTTAATGCAGTTAATGCATACTCCTAAAGAGAAATTAGGGAATAGGCTTCCAAGTTTAAATAACAAAGGAATGATGAGTGATGATGAGTGCACATTGAAGGAATCACCTGCTACTGTGTGTAGCATCTACAAGTGCAGTAATAATAAATGCATAGTAGAAATAAGGTATGGTGGTGACCGGTGGCTCGTCATTATAACCTTTTGAATGAATTCTCCTACCAGTCTCCTTCAGCATAATCAACTGCACTAGTCTAGCCATAATAAGTACTAGTACAACCCCTTTTCTTTTCCATTGTTTAATCATATCTCTGAATTTTCGTCTACATACGTCATCCTCGCAGCTTTAACTTAGAGATGACCGCCCCGACCCTGCAACCCTACTCTATTTTCCCACCAACTTTAATTTCTTTCAAAAAATAAAAAAATTACAGAGATGAAGCTACACTAATGAGTTAATTAACAAAATGACATCGTTAATTGCAGGATTAGCGGTCAGATGCTGCATCTCTTTGTGTCCTCGTAGGATCTTCTCTGCAATTCTGCGTATTTCTGGTGGTGCGGTTCGCTTATGGATCGTGATAATAGTGAACTGCCATATCCTGATGAAGCAAGGAAGAAAATTGTTCATTTAGTTATATTTCGGGATTGATAATGAGATGTTCGATTCCTAGACAGATTCCATCAATAAACTATCATCGATAAATTAATGGACAATTTTATTACCTCTGGCCGATGCCTTGCAATGGAGAATTGCACTTTGAATTCCGTTGTGCTGCTCCAGCAATGAATCGTCTCTTCTCCTAACCGACGGTGATGCCGCGGCGGACGCCGATCGGCTCTTAACCAGGTGTTTCCGGACTGCGCTAAAACTGGCCGGCCTACTACTCCCCTGTCTCTCCTCCGATAACCGTCTCGCCGGCACAATTGTCTCCTTTGCCGGAGACAAACCGGATGTGACTGAGATCTTATCAGAGACGAGATTGAGGCTACTCTTTTCGTTGTACTTGGAAGATTTCCCGTACAGCGGCTTAATCAGTTTCAAATACTTCGGGACCGCCTTTTTCGCGAACCGTTTAGACGGCTCATCGACGGACGAATCGTCATTCTTCTCCATTTGAAGCTTACTTCTCAAGCTGCTCCCTCGGCAAGGTAAGGAGGCGCCGACGATTTCGGAATCGGCAACCTTGCAGTTCACAGAAAACCGCTTGCTCTGTTCGAACCGCGACGGCGTCTGAGTTTGATGCTTCGGAATCCGAGTAGCAGCGGAATAGTCGTCTTCCAGCTTCGACTTCTTAAACCCTAGGAAGAAAATTCGAAACTTAGGGGCGGATCTCAGCAGTGAAATCGGAGAAGCGCCCCGTTTCATCTGAAGCACGTCTTTGGGAGACTCCGGAAAATTGAAACCTCTTTTGGATTTGCATCTCGCATTCACGACCTTAGACTTCTTCTCTCTACCGAAGTGATCGGCTCCGTCCAACACTAAGTCGAAAAAAGACTCGTCGTCCGAGTCTTCGTCGGTTTCGGATGCCGGAATGTGACCGTTGTCTGCATATTTGGTTGAATAGTTGAGAGAATCGGTTTCGTCGGAGACGAGTTCAGCACCGGCATTACTATTTCGCCAAAACTTAAGGATGTTAATAGCTTCCATGGATGGATGAAACACCGGCAATTAGAACAGAGAGTTGAGGAGCGGTAATGGTAATAGTGTGTGTATCAGTAAATGACTGTGAGCGTGATGCGTGATATTCGTCGTTATTTTATAGAGACAGAAAAAGAAAAAGGGTGAGAGGTCAATAAAGGTAAAAGCCAGAACCAATAAATTATGGGGTAATCTACTAATCTATAAGTAATATCTTTAGTTTCTAAATTAACTTCTCACTTTTCTTTTTGAACCGTTCTGAAATTAACTTCTCACTTTTTCTTATTTTTTATTTGGCAAATTATCTATATCAAAAGTTCAAAACAGTGTCAAACATTGTCGAAACAATTTTGAAATAGTGTTAATACAGTAAAATTTACCCTCAATAAATTTATTTCCTTAATACGTGTGAAATCGAAATAAAAAGTTAATTACGGGATGAAGGAAATAAATTTCAAGGATACAATTTAGAAAACTTTTGCCACATGTCATCTTCTCAAAAATTCTATTCAACCACAATTTCAAATCAAATACTCCATAGTAGGGGTGGACATTTCGGTTTTCGGTTCGGTTTTCTTCGGTTTCGGTTTAATCGGTTTGATAGAAAATGTACCAAATACAAACCGATTGAGTTTCGGTTTGGTTTCGGTTCGATTTGGAGTTCGATTTACCAAAGTATTAAGGTTTGGACTGAAAAAAAAAATTAACTCAAAATAATGAACCAAGAAGCGATAGTAATGAACCAAATATAATGTTAAATATAAATTTTCAAATAGTAACAAAACACATATGAAACAAAAATATACAAGCATGCCACATTTGTAAGCAACACCGACAACATGAGTGAATCAAATTATATATAAAGCCGAAACAAAAACAAAACTGGTGTTTGTAAGTAATGAACCAAATATATAGTAATAGTAGATAATAAATTATAGTTAAATACTATCTACTTGCTACAAAAAGAATTAAAGTTCAAAAAGATTAACATCAATCAAATTAATGAGAGAAATCTTATATTTTGGTTTGGTTTAGTTTGGTGTAAGTTGCTTTTGATTTGTTATTTTAAAAAAATAAGAAATTATTTCATTTTTAGATTAGTTCGGTTTTATTCGGTTTTATGATTTCGGTTTGGTTTGATTCGGTTTAATACGGGTTGGGAGGAATACTACCAAACTCAAACCAAATTACAAATGGTTCGGTTTCGGTTCGATTTAATTCAGTTTGGTATGGTTCGGTTCGATCAAACCGAACTGTTATGCCCACCCCTACTCCATAGGTATATATCTCCTAATGCTATTGAACTCTTTGGTAGATTATACTATCATACTGCATAATACTCCTTCCGTCTCTTAAAAGTTTGTCAACTTTCCGTTTTTGGACGTTCCACTACCTTTGCCACTTTCGCTTTTAAGTAAAGAATTTGTGGTTTCAGTTAATTATCTTTCTCCTCGAATGCACTCAAGAATTTTTCTTCACAAAATGTTGTAGATAGAGTGCAAACTCTAAAAGTTTTGAAAATAGGGTGCAAAATCCAATATCACCAAAATAAATGGTGTGCAAACTCAAAATTCCCCATAATAATTTCTTAATTCGAATAAACAATTACAATTGTGAGTATATAGAATCCATATATGATCCTATGTATGTAAACGTCATGTTTATTTGTATTTATTTTGTGATTGAATTATGTTCAAACATAAAGTCTTTACATCTATCAACTCTTGAGCTAATAACCAGCGGAGTGTCTTGAAAATTTCTTTATGATACTGAACCACTCTACCGATTATCAAATTCCTACTTTGTCATGATAAGCTATATATATCACTATAAATTTCCTCGTAGCTTTCACTCCTCCCGGCATATTAAATTAACAACTACCTTATACGCACGGGAAAAAGGCCTATTATCATTGGGCCGACTGAGTCACCGTGATTAACATCCTCCCAAAAATCATGTCGGGTCGGGGTATGAGGGGCTTCTAGGGTGGGAGATTCCACCTTTTGGACCAAGAATTAATAACTACTTTTAACTGTTTTTCTAGATTTCCTCTATTCTTCAATAATGTTTCCTCTTTTGAGATTTCATTTGCTTTATACAATATTGATACGAAAAATTGATGATAATAATAATATTTGTCGATTATTTCAAAAGAATCCAACTTTAAGGACTTCTTGTCAATAATGATCTCACGTGACAGGCTACATGCTCAATCAATCAACAAATAAATATCTGATTATAATAATCCTAACTATCATCTTTCGACTTTTATTAGACCCAGTAAATCAAATGATTAGAGTTTTTTTTTTAACTATAACTACTTTTTAGAAAGTTCATGGAATTAGAGAATATATAAGTAGAGAGTGTGATTTTTTAAAAAAATTGCAAAAATAAAATGTTATTATATGTAAAATATTATAAATATATATATAAAGAATATAAAATATAGAAATAAAAAGAGTAAAAAGATCAATGTAAAATCTTTAAAGGGAAAATCAAAGTGTAAATTAAGTACAATTCAAATTTGAAAAATGAAAACCTAAATTTTTAAAATTAAGAAAGTGAAAAAAATAAAAAATAATAATTCTTTTTTTAAATTTTAAAAAAGTACTAAATTCAATCATTCTAAATTACTCATGCATTATTGTTAGCGGACCAACAATAATTGGTAATATCATTTTCAGTTTTCCCTTACTGACATTGTAATGCAATTGGAGCCTTTACATGTGCCGTGTGCGGGATAAAATGAAAATTATCCGGTTAGAAATTGACTAATTACCATACCGTGCAATTTAATTAGATTGTGTATGAGACAGATAAAATTAAATTTTGTTCAATAGTTGATTATATGTGTAATTTTGTCCGTACAATAAAATGATAGCTGAAATCAATTTATATTTAGATAAAGATGATCAAAAAACTGATTTCATTTAGATGCAGCATAAAATTAACAAAGAAATTTTGAATGTTTCCATCAAAATGTTATACATAGAGCAATAGTGTGTTTGGATCGTTCAAAATAAGATTTGCCCTAGAAAAATGTATAATCACTACCGTTATAATCAATTAAATTCACGAACATATGTATAGCATTACCTCTATTCCAAAAAGGTTTGTCATATTAACTTTGGATAATAATTTTAACGACTATATTTGTATATATTTTATAATTACATTTTATGCTTTTATAAAAATATTTTTATTAAGGAACATTTTAATATAACTTTCATATTCAAAATTAAAAGAGTTGAGTTTTTTGTAACAATGAACCAAATAGAGATCAAATTTCAATATCAATATATCTATCTGGTTGTTCATTAGATACTACTATATATGAAGCGAGACTCGCATCTTCAAATATATTTTTTTATACGTTTCTATAATAAAACTAAAAATAATACTACGTAATATCTTTTACCCCGTGCACGACACGGGTAAAAATACTAGTTAGTTAATTAAATCACAGAAATCATAATCGTACTTACAATGAGATTGTCCAAATGATGCACTCTATATTTGATTCTTACTAGTTAGTTCTTACATAGTTTTATTACCGCTCGGATTAATATGACAAATAATGACATGCCGCATAGTCTCTAATCTGTTAAGATTGTCTATTTTTCCATTTCAGTTCATTTCATTATAATTGCCTCCTATAAAAAAATTGAAAAAGTTTGTTTGATTTTAAATTATTCTTACTTTATTTATTTAATATCAACCGCACAAATTCATTTTTTTTAATAACTCAAAATTAGTAATACTGAAGTGGTAGTAAAATAAAAATGTTATAATAAATTAGGAACATGTTAGTTGCCTCTGGTTTGTCCAAGAAATTTTGGGGTGAAACAATTAATCTACTGCCTATTTGGTCAACGGGTCACCCTCTGTTTCTCCAGGAGGAAAATGTCATAAACTGGTTTTCACAGAAATGCCCCTTGACCTATCTAATCTTGGAGTGTTTCAGTGTGCAACCTATATGCATCAAAAAGTTGATAAATCGGACCCTAAGGCCAAGACATGTGTTTTCTTAACTTATCTCGATGGGGTAAAGGGTTATAGGCTGTGAGATAGAAATGTGGATTATTTTAAGGTTATAATAAGCAGAGATGTTGTCTTTAATGAATCTGATTTTCCTTGTTTATCTAAAAATATTCGTGTTGTTTTTGTGTCTCACTATGAGGAGACACGTTTTGAGGTGGAGCCTCAGTTCCTTACCATGCCTACCGCTCAAGTTGACACTTCTGATAAGCATGAGAGTACTCTTGTGTAACACCCAGGGCCGTAGATGAGGGCGTGCAAGAAGTGCAACCGCACAAGGCCTCTCAATTTCAGAAGGCCCAAAAATTTAAATATAGTCTATATAATATAATAAATCTTTATTTATTTGATTAAAAATTCCTATCTTATTATTTTTTTTAAATACAAACATTAAATAGTAATATTTTTATGTAATTAAAGTATATTTGTTAATTACAATTGTGTGATTTCTTTATTTCACAAGGCCTAATTACATTAATTAGCACAAAACCCTTGTACAGTTTGGAAGTTGGAACGAGCTTGTAACTACTTTCTTTTTCATACTTTGTCATTACTTTACTTTTCTTAATTTATTCTCTTTTCTACTTTTCATTTACCTTTAGGGCCTACTATTTTCATCTTAAAACCCACAAAAAACCTAAGGACACTATTATTTAAAAACGGTGAAAGTAATAATATAATAATGATTATATAATGATAAAAAAAAACTTAGGGCCTCATTTTCAATTTTGCACTGGGCCTTCTATATGTCTGGGCCGGCCCTGGTAACACCGCAACCCTGCAGGATCGAGGTTGTTACTCCAACATACTCTTGAGACCGCTAATACTGTCCTCACAAACCAACACAAGCTTCTACCGCGTAACTTATCATAACTTGTGCGCGCTCTGAGAAACTTGTCAGGAGATCACCCATCCCAAGACTAATCTCGTGCAAGCACGCTTAACTCAGAGTTCTTAGGAGATGAGCTACCTTAAAATGAGAAGCACCTTATTGGTATGAGTATTTAAAAAGATCAACATGCAACTCATTCATAATTTGAAAATTTTCAAATTAATTTCAAGTATTACATCTTGTGTTTGCCTGATCATGTGAATGAGTTGATCTTTTTGGTGAGACTACCTCTAGTAAGATGGAGTTTGG